CGTAGGAGGACGTCGGTATCCTCATCGCCCCTGGCGATGGAAGCTTGGAATAGGACCGGGGGGACGGTTCAGACGCCACGTTTCTTTGCAACCATGCCTGCGGGGTTTGTGGATTCCCCGCGTGCAAAGGGGTACTCTCACAGGAGGTTTTGAGCCGGAAATGCCTGGCATCAGTGCCTGTGGTTTTCAAGCAACAGACTTGTTCGCAGAGGGTTTTGAGGGGAAGGCCATTGGTTGCACGCCTGTAGGTGCAGAAGATGTGTCAACCAATGCCAGGGGAGAGGGAGCCATGCACGGCTTCGCTCCAGATGACAGCATGGCAGCGGCACCCGCCATGTCGGCAACCCATTGCAAGCAGTACCGAGTTACTGCGGACAATGCAGTTTTGACAGAAAAGGACAAGGGCCAGATCATATGCCATGAGTACGGGCCTAACAAAGTAACAGGGGAAAGTAGTCCGTGCGGGCAAACTTTTCCCAGAGGGGGAGGTGACGAAGGCTTACTCAGTGACTTGCGAAGCATGCTCACGAAGCACCAGAGCAAGCCGGACACACCGAAAGGGCAGTGCAAGAGTCAAGGAAAGGGCAAGGTGGCACCAGCTAACAAGCAGGCCACCAACACACAGACAAACAGTTACTGGACGCCGTGAAGCGTCTAGTGAGCCGGGCAGACCAGCAGGGAGCAGAGGGCATGTGCCAGAGATTGCAAAGTGTCTTGCAAAGTGCTCAGGAAGGCAAGCCGTTGCAGAGCGGGCGAGCCCAGCGCAAGGCTAACAAGAAGCAAAAGCAACAGGAGGAGGAAGGAGCTAGGCAGTCCTTCTACAGCCCCTTGCCACCTTAACAAAACGGCGGCAAGGGCAGAGGAAAGGGCACTGGCGGAGCGGGCAAGGCGCACGCCGCGGAAAACCACAAGCAGTGGCAGGCAGCCGTTGAGGCCATCTCAGCCAAGAGGGCAGAGCAAAGGCTGCAGGCCCAGCAACCGCTGAATGCGGCCTACGTCATGGTCAGCGATGCGCAGGAGGCCGAGCGCTTGGCTAAACTGGCCAAGGTGAACAGCGTGCAGGACAAGGTTGGGCTCATCAGCTTGAAGGAGTCCGGGACTGACCTGGGTAGCACTGCTGAGGTCAGAGCCCTGCCGAGCATAAAGGGCGAGCGCAAAGCCATCAAAGACTGGAAGACGCGGGCTTTGACGGCGGCCGGAGTGTAAGCAGAGCAAGCGGGCCTCGTCTTACAAGCCGCCTGACCGCGAGCCTCGCACTGCACGTGTTATCATGCCGAAAGCCCTCATGGAGAGCGCCACTTGGCAGGTAATTAGCACAGCATCAGCCAACCGAAGTCGTCAAGCGCTACGCGGGGCTAAAGTCCATCGAGCAGAAGGGTGGAAGCTGCAGCAAGCCGCCAGCGAAACCCTTCTGGTGGGCTACGTTACTCTGGTTAAGGCAGAGTATGAGAAGGTTCTCAGCCTCAGGCAGGCACGGCATTTTCTATGAGGCCCTTGCACGTGACACTAGTGATAAGCCTGTCGTGCAGGGCCTGCAGCAGGGCGAGCTCACGGGCATCTCCTATATGAAGCATGCCTTGCACGAATCGGGAGGCAAGCCACCGGCATTCAGGAAAGGCGGGGGAGCAGCCGAGATCCCACTTTGTTTCCGCTTGGAGGATCCGAGGAGCGCCGGCTGCGTGGGATGAGGATGACGTTGTCAATGTGCTAGAGGGCGCGGGCTTCTCGAACATCCAAGTCATCTTTACGGCCGAACACAGAAAGCCATGGATGATTAAGGCAAACCTGGACAAGGACGACTGCGAGCCTTTGCTTGCGGTAGAGGCGGCGGGGCGAGTTCTTCAAGCAGAACGGGTGCGAGGCCGGCGTGACGCCTCAATCTGGAAAGACCAGGCCTGGGCACCGCCGAAAGCTTCACACAAGGGCAAAGGAAAAGGCGACAAGGGCAAACAGGCGTTGGCAGACGCTGCCGGTAGGCCAAGTGAAGCTCCCCCGACTGCGACGCCCATCGATCTGGAACCGGACGGCGAAGGCGGTGACAAGCCAAAGGAAGGCGAGGCCAAACCACCGGCCAGGGAGCGCAGCCAGCCCTACGCGGCCGCGGAGACTCACACCAGCAGAAGTCAAAGACGCTTGGGAAGAGCATGAGTGTGGGGGAGCAGGGCATTGTTTTTACAATTGTATTAGCACGGGCTTCATTATGAAGACTACAGGCGAGCCGTTCGAAGCACTCAAGGGCCAAATCTCAGCCAAAGAGCAAGGACTGCGATCGCGGATTGCAAAGGAAGTGGAAGGCCACCAATCCTTCTACCAATCCTTCTTTGCGGTGGAGCCGGAGCCTCAAGGCACACCCGCCGAGGTGGCCGAGGAGCTCAAGCAGCGTGCGAAAATGGAAGATGGGGAGGTGCCACGCGCCTGGGAGCAGTACGTGGAGGCCGTATACCGGCCAAGCCGCTGGGCAGACGAGATTACCTTCAGAGCAGCAGAGCAGCTGGAAAGCATCACAGTGGTGGTAGGAGACCTGCAGGAGCCTAAAAGAGTGCTTTACTACCTGCATCCTCGGGCTAAAATCGCTGTGTTCTTGCGTCATTCCGGCAACCTTTACACATTGCTCAGGCATATGAGTCAGCAGACCCCATTTTACATCAAGCCTGATGACTTAGCGGCAGCATCGCAGGAGCCAGCCCTGCGACGAAGGCATTGACTACCAGCGGAACTGCGCAGCACGGGGCCGCCCTAACCCGCCGGTCCCTAGCCCCCCCCCTCGTAGGGTTTAGGCTGGCCGGGGCAATTAGGAGTAGGGTAAGGGTAGACGCAGCACCGGGCCGCCTTAACCCGCCCCCTGCCTGTAAGGTTTAGACGGCCTGGAGCGCTTAGGATCAGGGGCAGGGGTAGCGAAGCGGACAAAAACAGGAGCAAGAGCAGAGGCGTCAGCAGCAAAGAGCAGAGTGTAGCGCAGGGCCACCCTAACCCGCCGGACCCGGGTAGCGACGCAGACCCGGCCAAGGGCGCAAAAGGCGGCGCTGGTGGCAGCAGCGGTAAGCGAAAGCAACAGGCAGCACGAGGTCTCCCTAACCCGCCTGGCCCTGTAACCCCTAAGGGACGCGCAAGCAAGCTTAGTGCGGCCAACAGGCAGGTGACAGTCCGACGGATGAAGCACCACACAGTACGAGGCAAACTGCAGTGGCCATGTAATCACTGTGATTATGTGGCAACCGGCACCAACATGCGACACGTAACAGTCCAGAGGTGCAATCACATCAAGCGAGCGCACGATGTTGGAGCTAGGCGTTAGCATTGAGGGTGATCACAGAGCAGTCACCTCTAGGTTCTACCGCGGGGTTGATTTGAGGGTTTATAGGCCCAAGGCGGCGGAGGCGCCCACTCCATGGCAACAGCGGGCTGGGGACGTCAAGCTCCGTAACGGCAAGGGGGAAGCTGCGGCCAAGCGGGCAAAAGCATGGGAACGGGACATTCCGCCAGCGCCAAGCGTGCGTGTGTTCCAGCGTAAACTTAGGTACGTGGCCTCACCATTGACGAGGATGTCGAGGAAAACCCCGGGCCATCCCCCCCCTCGAGGGCAGTGAAAATTCTCTCGTGGAATGTGCAAGGTCATAACAACCTCTTTGCGGCAATTACAGAGGGTTTGTTCGAGGCCGCCGATGTGGGCATGCTGCAAGAGGCCAACGTGACCGATAAGCTAAGGGTGGATGTTAGCCGCATGGCGCTCCGCAAGGGCTACCATGCCTTCTTCACGAAGGGCAATGCTCAGCCTGATGCTCTCGGCAGAATCCGCGGGCACGGCGGCTTAGTCACCTTATTGGTCAGGCAAGATCGTCAGGGGAAGATCTTTGGCGCGTGCATCGAGCAGGGCCAGTATGAGCTCCTCCAGGTTATGGTTGGCGACGTAGCCTACGTCAACCTACATCGCAAACCGGGAAGGGACGAATCTGATTTCATTCAGATGCTACAGGAGATATTCAACACGAATGGGCCAATGATAGCGGCAGGCGACTTCAACATCCACGCCTCAGACCTCCCTTCCGACATGCCTGAAGCAGTGTATGTCCGAAACGAAGAGGGCCAGCCGATGCCTTCTAGAGTCCAGGGGCACAGATGTTTGGACTACTACTTACAGCAGGTGGCCGGGGCCAGTTATGGACCCCACGTGCTTGGAGACCATCTTGGGGTTTTTGGGCATACAACATGGCAGCCACTAGCAGCTGTGGAGAATGCACATGTTTTGCGACCCACCACCCAATATGTGCAGCCACCGGGAGCAGATCCAGCTGAATGGGAAGCTGCTCAAACCGCAGTGTGGGATCAGGCGGTTTTGCCTGAGGACCGCGGTGACACAGAGGCTGAGTGGCAGCGGTTTAACAACACGGCCGAGGCAGCCATGCGAGCGGCCAGCTTTCATGCGGGGGCATTGCGTGACCCCCCTCAACGACGGGTCAAGGGCAGCCAGCCCGCATACGTCACGGCTAAGGGCCACAAACAGGTTATTGAAGGGGATAACTTCTTTCAGGTGCGCAGACTTCGCAATCTCTTGGGGCGACTTAGGGACCTGTGTCGGCAGCAAATGGCTGGCCAACATTCAGAGTCCTTGATTGTAAGGATGCACAACACATGGCCTGGCTTGCTGGGGCCCTTCCAGGAGATTTTGATCCCCACGAGGCCTCTGCAATTGTTGAGGGAGCACTTCAGGACACCCTGAGCCAGCGGCACTTAGAGGGCATTCACATATGGCAGAGAATGATGACAAGACGCGGGCGGGGAGCTAGCAAGTGGCTCAAAGGCGTGCCCAGACCGCCCCACTCCGTCTACGACACCGTCCGGGGAGAAAAGGTGACGGCAACCACCAACAGCGCGAGCCTGGGCATGCTGCGGGAATACTGGAGACGGATATGGGACCGTGGCCAGTTGACGTGATGGCTGCCGCACGAAAGTGGCGGCAACAGGCGAATGATTTATGGAGCCCTGGCAGACTACACGCCAAGGCGCGGGAGTACGATGACAGTGCTGCCGGCCTTGATGGCTGGACAGGGTCAGAAATCAGAACTTGGCCTTGCGCAGCTTGGCAGGCTTTCTCCATTCTGCTTTCGCGATGGAGTGCCCGGGGCCAGTTCCCGAGCGCATGGCAGGCTGTCCGTCAAGTCCACTTACCCAAAACGGAGGCTGAGCCTAACTCCGGTGAGTGTGCTGCCAAAGACATGCGTCCCATCGCCATCATGTCCATCCTGTGGAGGGTTGTCTCCTCGACCGTTGCGTCAGGCCAAGAGACCACCGCGTGGGCTTCTGCAGTACTCCATGAGGACCAATACGGAGGATCCGAGGGCGACAGTTGCGCCAAGGCATGGTGGCCCTGGCCGGCCGCTTTGAAGAGGGCAAACCCATAACAGGTCTTGATTTCACTAAGTGTTTTGATTATGTTCATCTGGCAGTAGCCCTTGCCATCATGCAGGCTGCTGGGTTCCCGGTGGCCATTGTTGACATGCCTCGCCATGTATGGCAACAACATTGTTACCTTGAGTTCTCAGGCTACTCCTTGGGCGCGGCAGAAGAGGTCCACTCTTCAATGCCTCAGGGCGATGGATTAAGCCCCCTGGTTTTGAACGTCATCTTGTCGGCCGCTTGCCGCGTGGCACAGCAGGCCGGGCACGGCTACGGAGCTTCAAACTTCTTAGACGACAGGGCATTCGTAATAGATGCAGCGCAGATCGAAGTCATATTACGTGCTTGAGCTGAGTGGAGCCAAGCGCTCATGCTCCAGGAAAACCCGGCCTGCTTGCCATGGTGTGTGCCAGGCCTGCGGCCGGCCAGCAAGCAGTGCGCGCGGCCGCCTTGGGGCACCTCCTTGCAGCCTCCACGCGCATACTCGGCGTAGATTTTTACACGCCGGGAGCCCCTGAAGGGGAAGCAACCGTAAAGAGAATGGAAGCAGCCCTCGCTATGGGCAAGAAGCTCTGCAACAGGCTCCTACCAGTTGATATCAGGCGCGATCTGTGGCGCACGCGCATAGTGCCCAAAGCAGCGTGGGGTCACTTGTTCCGGGGTATCAGCGAGGGTAGGGTTAAGCAGTTTAGGGCCTTAGGGCCCTTTATAACAAGGTGACTTACGCGCATCGTATGGCGAGCCCCCACTTCAGGCGCCTCCTGGAAGGGCACAAGCAAGATGTATGGTTTGAGGCAGGCAGTCATGCTTTCCGAGCACTGTGGCAGTCCGCACCATGGGGGCGCCTAGGACCGAACAGCAGCTTGGCCGTGCACGGCTTCCTAGCGCAGGTCGGATGGACCATGACGGAGCCTTTCCGGTGGAGCAGGGGCCGGGTTAGCCTAGGTCTCCACGAGCAATCACTGAACCAGGCTCTGCATGTGATTTGTGAGGCGTGGAGGGAACAGTTGTTCGGGACTTGTATCAGCGGGGCGATTCCTCTGCCAAAGCTGTGATGATAGGAGCTGCGCACAGCACTGCATTCTATCAGAAGCGCAAGTACGACATTGTCAATGCGGTCTGCCCGTGGTGCCAAAACCAGGTACCCCCAGACTGGCACCACCTGGCTTGGGAATGCCGGGGCATACACGGCAGCCAGATGCGCCCAGTGAGACCAGGAAGCACCTGCGGCATGCGGTTGGGATGGCCGGACATACAGGACAAAGCAGCATTTGAGAGAGTCATCCGCTGGCTCGGGCATGTGCGTGAAACAGTCCGCGAACAGCTCTAGCGGCGTTGAGATAGGCCAGGTTGGTTTGGGGTCCATAGTCTAGTCCCTAACCCGCCGCCCTAGGCCCTGACCATTCCTTATTAGATTGCCATGGGCTAGGGGGAACGCAGGTGGAATGGCATGTGCTCACCATGCGCTATTGAGGGCAGCGTATCGCATAAGGGGGTCACCCCGAATGGCAGATTTTCAACCCCCGACACAGGCTTTCACACGCAAGTCTTCAGCCCACACGCATATCAAACTGAGGGGCTGAGAACAGCTTGAGGGCTGAGCTTGCGCCCAGCGAAGGCTGGGTGGTGGGTGTGGAGAGAAGGGCGGCCTGGCAAGGCTAACATGCTGTGTAGTCCCATGCGGCTCACGGCATACCAAGATCCCGAGATGATGATGATGATGATGATGATGGTTCTGATGATGCCTGTGAAGGCGAGCTTATTTTGACAGCGGATAGTTTTCACAGCTGCCCTGTTCAGGAAGCCCATAAGATGTTGACCTTAAGGCCTCCACCGAAGCTTTGCAACTTCTGTGGAATTGCTTCAGGACGACGTCTTCCGCGTCTTTGGCGGCGACAAGATCGAAAGCCTAATGGACGCTCTTCCGTTTTTCTCAATAATTGGATTCTAGTATCTTAACTCTCCCGGTATTGTGATTACGTCATTTTGTCCGTCAAAGTGTTATAGAGGGCTTAGGGATCCCGGGTTCAGGCGTCGGGTTTCGCACGCAAACGGCAGTCGGGGAGGATATAAGGCAGACTCCTGGCAATTCGTAGTGTAGCAAGTTAATTTTGGGACCCTAAGCCTAAATCCCAAATTCTAAAGTCTAAAACGTGATGGGTCGGGCTGCGGGCTCCGTTGCGGAGAAAAAGACCACGCCCAGACAGCCTCAAACTCCATACAAGCCGAACCTTTAACCCTAAAAAACGAAACTCAGGTTCACGCCTTCATCTGTCAACTACTTGGCGGTTCGTGGGTAGTTTCAAGTGTGGTTTGGTTTGGCCTGTCCTGGTTTGGAGAATGTAGTCATGCTACGTGCAAATCCTACCCGCGATTGAAAGAACCCAAGCTCTTAGGCCACAAGTCTTACATCTGCAAACCAAAGCTCCTAGGCCTCAAGCCCTAAATCTGAAAACCCTTGAACCCCTGACCCAAAACTCCAAACTCTACACCCTACGGTAAGCCCTAAACCTCCACAGTAGAAGCCACAGGGTTGGAGGATGAGTATCTTTGGAAGATGGAAAAGAGGGTTTAGGGTTTAGGGTATAGGGCCTACTAGCAATCTTACAGTCCTAGATTCCTTGTGTGCTTGTGGTATAAGAAGTATTGGTACTTCTTTTACATGGCCCGAACATCTCGAGGATCGGTTCCGCCTTGGAGACCAAATTCCGCTGCAGAGCCCCATTGCTGCCTGGACCAAATGGGGGGGGATCCACAGGGTCTCTTTAAAGGGCTTTGTAGGATTTGGGGCTATGTAGATCTTGTACGGGAGATATATGGCTCAGATTCAGCAATTTGGGGTTTGGGGATTAGGTCTGAGGGATCAGGGTGAGAATGGAGAATAAAATAAAAAGAAAAATGGGAGCTGGGGTAACATATGGCCCGAAAAACCTTAGTTCAGGTCCCAGAACGTCCGGGAATGGGGTTTCGGGATGAGGGCGAGCAAGTTGGTTGAGACATGCGAATCAGGGACTTAGGAGTGCCCACCCCCAAACCCTAAACCTTAATCCCCAGATCCTAAACCCTAACTCCTAAACCCTAAGCCCGAAACCAAAAGCTGCACGTGCCAACATAAGGAGAGCTACGCTGACAGTTGCCTTCCACCAAATTAACATGGAACCCCCAGACCGACCCTGTGACGAATTACTGGCGTCTTGAAGGGGGGGAGTATACTAAGCAAGAAAGGCTAGATTCGGGTAGATGCCCCAAATCCTCAACCCCCCGAACCCGCAAACCTTAAACCACTTAACTTAAATAAAGTCGACCGGCCTCCTAGTATTAGATACTCCCGTTGTGATCTTTATAAAATGTTGAGAATATTTGATATCAAGAGGAGGTGGGGGGTTTCAGTATTAGGGGCGGGGATTACATCAAGACCCCAATTCCCCCTAAACCCTAAACTGCGGCTCTCGCGCAAAGCTGGCCCTACAGCTGTAACTTAAAAAAAGCCCAAGCCCTTAGCCCCAAATCGAAATGACTAAGTTCTGTTTATCCTTGTAGCCTCTTCATCTATATACATTCCCCATACAGTTTTGAAAAGCCCAGAGGCCAAACCCTAACCCCCCAAATTCCCCTACGAGAGTCCTTGAATGCGTAGGCCTAAATCCATTCACTCTCGACCCAAGCCAACACGTCGCGAGCTATAATTACCCCTAACAGGGTAGGTTGGATGGTTAAAAATGTTGCCCTTAATTCCTATACAGTGCTTATAAGGCCATAGAAATCATTTTGTATAGAGCGGCCAGACCTACCCTAGCTAAGCCCTAGTACAACTTTCCGAAATCCGTGAGGTCAATGACACTCTGGACCGAGTGCAGAAAGCAGTGGAGGAGTTCTTCAAGAAGACGCGCACCACTCTCTTCGAGTTTGACAAGGCTGGTGATCAATCACCGTACAGAGATTAGGGTACATCTTAGGGGATGTGAGTTATAGTCTTATCTGCATAATGGGGGTTAGTAGGGGACTAATAGGGTTCCTACTTTCGGGCTTTGTGAGGGAGATGCTAGTTAAGCCCTAAACCCTGGACCGGGGGACTAATAGGGTTTCTTTTCTGGGGCTTTTTAAGGGAGATACTAGGAGTTTAACCCTAAACCCTATACCAGAAGTTTTAGACAACGGCTCATGCCAAGGCTGTTTCAACAAAGCAGAGCCTTTAAGATGGAAAGCCCATGCGATAGCAAAGCAGATGTGAGATATAGTCTAAACTCCTTAAAGGGATATATATATATACATACAGATGGGCTTGATATAGGGGAGTAGTATGAGGGTTACGAAGGGGGATACGCGGATTTTAGACTATAGCTTATGTGATGTGAGAAGTCACAACAGCAAGAAGGCAATCTTATCAGAACGGCTGTGGCTCAGACTCCACTAGTCAAGACATTGACGAAGGCATTCAGGATTGTCACAGAAAGGGGCATCGGCATTGCGGCCAGATACTTGGTAAGACCTCGACCCCTAGCTCAAACATGCGCAGAATGTAACGCTACGCTCTCAACCCCTCCCACAGCCCGCAATATCACCATCCCTTACCATGAGTCCCCGTAGCACCCCTGGAGGCGAAACTGTAAGGATCCAAGCTCTGATTTCAATTAGCGCAGGTCATTTCTAAGCAGCGCGAGCTCACATACTCGACCCGCAAGGACTTCGGGTGCCAGGGGCCATGGCCACTTGAAGGGTCAGCGGGAGGGTAGTAAGGAATGAACAAGAAAATGGGAGCCACTACGTTATTCAGGGCTTAAGGTCAGGGGGACTTAATTTGTTAACTCATTACCCTTATAGAAGGCATGTAATGGCCCGGGTTATCCCCATTATCACCCCTTTTATGAAGTCTCCATGGCCCTCCCCGCAAGGTAAGTTGAAAGCTGAGGCTTCACGATTTCAATGGATTATATGGGATTATATACGGTTTATAAAGGGAATATACCAGGCCTATACAAGGATCATATTCTGGGGGGTACATGGAAGTTGTTGTTTTTCCAAAAAATCCGCGCTGCGCATGCGCGGCGTATGTCCAGTGCAATTTGACAGCTTAACTAACAGTCCTGCAGCACGGTATAGCCTAGTGATAAGAAAGACCAGAAAGCAGGAAACATGACTTTAACTAATTTTCCTCAAGGGTTCGAGTGCCTATCTCAAACCAATACTTATACACTGCTGGCCTCCAGCCGGACTGACTGCAGCTTTTTTTGTGGACTTGGAAGTGGTGCAGGCAGGTGCCCCGCATATGGCCTCTGCGTCCCAAGGTGGGCTTGGAAGTGGTGCGGGCAGGTGGCCCGCGCGGCTTCTCAGTTTCAAGGTGGGCTTAGAAGTGGTGCGG